CTATCGGAAAACTCTGTTTATCGGCAGGAGATTCCCAATAATAATACCCCATTGTTTTTTTAATCATTTTCTCATCGCAACTATAATTTATAGGTCCACCTAAAATGCCCAAAAATGCAATGGGGGGACAAATAAAAAATCGTTAGTATTTAAAAAGGACTAAATAAACAATTATGTATTATTACTAAAAGTCTCCTGAAGAGAACCACAGTTTTCCGATCGAAAAATATTGATTTTCGAGAATTCTATACCATTTCTACGAAATATTTTATTTTCCCATATAAAAACGCATGGAAAACTTTGAGCGCTTTGAGCGACCTGTAAATATTTTTTGATTTCAAAATAAAAAAATTGGCGTATAATTTTTTTTTTTTGATATAGAACAATCCTAGGGGGTGAGCGCATTAAAATTCCGACTTTACTGTTTTTGGATCACCCTAATGTACATAGTTTGGCGTGAGAACTTTATATACTAAGCTAGGGCCATAAGTATGTGAGTATAGAAAAATATGTTTTTAAACGCAGGTTCGTAAATAAAAACGGCTTAGTAAAGATATTTTTATGCAATATTTTTTACCGATGTATCTTTTTTTATGTAAAATGCATCGATTCTATAAAGAAGTTTTGTGAGAAGATTGAAAAAAGGGGCATTTGGCGGCGAAGCTACTACTTTTACATTCAAGTAACAATGGATTTCAAAAACTTCCAGACTTAAGCGATTAATTTTCTCCAAAAATTGCACACAAAAAAAAAACATTTTCATCAATTTTTTAAGGCAATTGGCAACTCTGTTTAATAAAGGTTGAGCGTGAAACCTTTCCAAAACATCTTCACGTTTACTGAGCTAAATTTTCTAACAAATTAAAAAAAAAATGCACGAAAATTTTAAATAGGTGGCAACTTCAATAAAAATTTGTTTTTAACAATATTGAGATATTTTACTTAACGTACTTATCGTTTAATTTTCGAAACAGCTAGCAATCCTCACCAATAATTCTGCGTTATGTATATATAAAATTGAATTAGATTTTATCCAGTTGGCAACCCTATCCGAAATATGCCCTGTTTAACTTTTCTCGAAACCTTTATCAATTGCTGCACATATTGAGCTTTTGATTGTGAAAATAAAAACATAATTTAGCTGTTGTGAATTCTTATGCAAAATCTTTAAACATAAGAAAATAAGATAAGATATTAGATCGATTCCGCTATTATTTTTAAAAACTAGTTTATTTTTATTGAACTACTACATATGTACTAATCAAAGTTACCGCTTTCATTTATTTCAGCTCTCCGCAACACAAATCGCAAATGTACGCGTGTCCGGTAAAACTAGACAAATTTCCTTAAACTGAACTATAAAAGTAAAATCCTTGAGGATTCTTAAAAAACATTCTCAATTTGAGAATATTGGAAAATGTTGGATCGTTGCGAAATGCCGGTGAGTAGAATTTTTATTTCCTATATAAAAAATATTTAAGCATGAACGAGTTAATTTATATTACTTCACAAATCAAATGAAAATTTAGACTTAAAGCACTCGTTATATAATTTTTTGTTCATCACTTGTTTAGATACAAAGTAGGTAAGTAGAAATTTGGGTGCTAGCACAATTATTTTGTAAAAAAAAAAAAGTAGAGGGAAACAAAGCATAATCCAGCCTATCGTTTTCTTACTATCAAGCTTATCTTAGTAAAAAACTAAAAACCTTTTGGCGTCTTAAACCTTTGTCTACCATTGGACCCCTATGCAAGCAACAATGTGGGTTCAACGGACCCGGGCTGGTAGTTCCCGCTAGATTTGCAATAACAATACCAATTGCATATTAAAAAAAAAAATATATATATATTTAAAGAATAGACTACATGAAAATATGCAAAGTAAAGCAGTTACGGAGTTCAAAATCATCAGACATTGAAAATCTCATTCGGGTCCATTGGACGCGGGCGGTAGAAAAAGCGTTAATACAAAATTCATCAAAATTTCAAACTCTTGAGTAGGAGTTTCGTACTAAAGAGAAGAGTTTTCCAAAACAGTCCCCTTTCTAATTTTATTTTGCATTTGCTTTACTCTAAAACCCAAACCAAAAGGGAAGGTTTGGTACATAGATGGATCCGAACTTGATGATGGTAAAACTGGCCCCGGCATATTTGGCCCCACTTCAAAAAATCTATACGAATGGGTACCTAACTCACCGTCTTTCAAGCGAAGGTTCATGCAATAGAAATTTGCGGCAGAGAATGCACATCGTTAGTTAGGCAGTCCTACTGACACTTAAGTGCCACAAAACGAATTATCGGCTAGCACATGACTGCTTCAGTGTCCCAAATGCCCCTAGAGCTAAGAATATAGTTCTATTAGGATGAGTATCGAGGCATGAGGGACATGATGGCAACGAGGAAGCTGACTACCTAGTGAAACAAGGAGCCACCGCTGTATTTCATGTTCCGGAACCCTTTTGTGGGCTCGCCAAAGCACACACAAAGGGGGTCATAAATGACTAGGCAGAAAAAATGTTCAACAGGAACTGAATGTAATGTGGGTACAGGTCAGCGGTAAGCCAAGCGATTTATCTGTATTTCAAATGAAGCTTCAAAGGAACTACTTAATTTAAGCAAAGAGGACCTTAAAACTCTGACTGGGTACTACACGGGACACTGCTCCCTTCGGTACCATCTTAGTAAAATGAACCTCTCAGAAACAAACGACTGTCGATTTTGTGAGCTGGACGAAGAAATGCCAGAACACATCCTCTGTGAGTGTGAAGCTCTTCTAATCCGTTTGGAAACATGGAAAAAAGCTCTTGTAAGTTCTAGGCTACATCAAAAGCCTTCCCATATAGGGCAGATGGTTACGAAGATGAGAGCACTTTAGAGGTTGCATATGGCTTAAAATAATAACTTATTTTTAAGGGACATTGTTTAATTACAAGGCAAATGTCTTTGCTAATAATTCTACCCCTGTGATCATTCAATGATGAGATTCAACCATAAATAACTTTGTCGCCAAGATTAAATCCTTTTTCCTTTGAAATTTTCAATTTCCTGTATTCTAAGTATTGTGCTCCAGTGCCTACAAGTTGCTGCTTAAGAGCATGGTATATATTACATACATATATGTATGGTGAGTGGTGAGTGAGGGCCTCCACTCTTATAACACCGCGAGCAGATTGATCTATTTTTCCCCCCTAATAAGGTGCTCGTTATTTAGTGTACTTAGATTTAGAAATTGAATAAGCTCCTTCTGTGGTATTACTGTTAGTTGCATAAGAATTTCGTTCTTCTAGTTGTTAGCGGTAAAGTGTTCCATTGTCCCCTTAAAATAACCGCAGAATCTACATTTGTTAGTATTGATTATACCAAATTGTTTAAAATGCTTATCACACTTATGGTGGCTCGTTAGTGTCCCACACAGAGTTTTCAGCTGTCTCCTATCAGATTCAGCTCTTTTAGCATTATACAAAGGTGAAGAGGTTTTTCCAAATTCCCAAGGTCATTAAGGTTATTCCAGTGTGGGTGTGTGTATTTTAGTCGCTAGTTTTAAATATCCCGCTTTAATTGTCTCTTACTAAATCCAAGCAGTGGGATGGGATCTGGGAAAATGTCTTCAGCTCCCTTCTCCCTATTCCAGCTCCTACTCAATGGAATGTTCCGGTACTATTCGTCTACCACTTTTGTAATTTTTTAACTCATTTGGGTTTGTGTACCACATCTCTTTGGTGGGAGAAGGACTATATTTCCCTTATGAAATATTATTATATATTTCGAAGAACAGGCCTCACGAACGAATCGTCTGCATATGCCATCATTTTTCGGCCATTTTGTAACTCTATCGGTTCGTCTTTGTCTTGCTTTGCGAATACATTGAACTCGTTTTGGTTACATTGAAACTTGGGTATAACAGCGATTTTTAGATTGAACTTTTTAAATTAGAAAATTGCCTTAAAACCTAAGCGAAAATATAATTTTCCCACATTTTCTCATATGGCAACACAGTAGAAATGGATGCCCATATTTCCTTTTCCTTATTATTGAAATTTTTTTAGTCATTGCATATACATATATGGCAAAGCAATCCTTTCCCAAAAATCCTTCGAATTCAAAAGAAAGTCCTGAAAGGAGGAGTTTGGTATCTACTTTAAGAATACGTATACAAAAATCTTTTTGCGTTAAAGATTAATTTCCTGGAAAATTAAATAAAAATTAAAAGAATCGGCGTTAAAACAACTGGGAATAAAAAACTGCACCCAATGAAAAAATCATCATTTTCTTGTAGAAATCGTCAAATCATCAAGACAGTTAAAAATCTTCCAAATGACGACCAAATCTTCAATCTGGCAACACTGACTGAAACCCAAGATTTCTGCTTATTCGTAAAAAGTTTTTGTAGCTACAGCTTTTAACTAAAAACTCACTCATATGTACACACATACGTATATTTTATTCCACTCGTTTACGATTCGCCTAAAATCATACAACAAAATCGTTTTTATTCGGCAGAAATTTATTTAAGCTGAAATTAGTCAAGAACGTAAACCTACCGGTACGTAAACCCGAGTCAGCTGACACGATCTGTCTTACCAAAGCGCCATGTAAATGAAAACTCAACACCGCAGAATTTTTCTGTAGTTGTAGCCCGTAGCGCAGAAATCTGCGGAATTTAGATTTTTCCGTGTCAGCTGATTTCTCCTTCTTTAGATGGTTGCCACTTCGTCAGTTTTGCAGATGGTAAAAAAGTTATAAGTTCCTATTCGAAATATGTTTAAAATATTTGAAATTTACTATTAAATAAGGTTTTTGTTGAAAACTAAGTAGTTTATATTTAGTTACAATCTATTATAGCACGAAAAATTGTGGTTGAAAGGGTAAGTTTATGAAAAGGCATTGAAGAGTGGCAACACTGTAGTAAGCAACACTGAGGGCTCCAGTAATCGACAAAATTCTGCGTATACAGACTACGTTTAAGTATACGTTCTGCGTTCTCGACTAATTTTAGCTTTACACTTTCATTCAATTTCGTTCTGTAATTTTTTTTTTCTCCCTCTCTCTCTCTCTCTCATTGCAGATTCAAATAGACAACGATAAGTTGCGGCGCGTTAGCGCCGTTGTCGATCGCGACAATCGTCTCTCAAATTCACGCATCGATTTGCCAAATGTATGCAATGGGGGCGTGGGTGGTGGTGGTGGTGTCGGTAGTATTGCTGGTGGTGGCAATGGTACAACGCGTGGCTCATCGCGCTCCAGCCGTTGCCTAGATGCACACAATAATCATTTGAATAGTCACAGCCATAGTCATCACAATGGCCATCATCAGCGCAGCCCAACTAGTGGCAACAACAACAATAACAGTAACAGCAACACTAATACAAATAACAAAATTCAACAACAACAACAACAAACAATTAATGCCAGCAAACAAAACAACAGCAGCGGCAGCAACAACAACAACAACAACAACAACAATAACAATAATATTGGTTCACCAGTATCATCGACAACGATCTCATCGCATGGCAACAGCTCGACAAGCGGCGGTGAGCGGGGCTCATCGACCAAATCGAATAGCAGCAGCGGCAGTGGCAGCAGTGACAATATGAAATGCATTACACCGATGACGCCGGCAGGTGGGTGCAACAAATACATACATACATACCTACAACAAAAAAGATACAAAAAAAAATTAAATTAAATAGAAAGAGTGTACGCTGTTTGGGTGTGTTTGGGGATTTGTTTTAGTTTGTCCTTCAACTGCTTGTTGGGCGCACTCATTCGTATGTGTGTGTGTGTGTGTGTGTATGTATTTACCTTGTGTTAACGTATTTATTCAAGTTCAGCTAACCATATTTGCGCTCTGAGCTGAGGCTATTTACGCTTGACGCTTATTTGCTTAACAATTTCATTTCCCACAACCCACCTTCCTCGTGCTGCTAGTATGACGTTCAACGTTCGACGCTTGCTCGTTTGGCCCGCTCAGCCAATGGCAGGATATGACCGATAGCATTTAGTGAAAGTTTTTTTTTTTCAATTTTATATTTATTTTTTGCTAGTTTCAGCAGCATTATACGCATCACTGTCATTCAATACCTCGCAACTCTCGCTTGAGTGTGCGCTTGTATGCGCTGCTAACCACAAGCATTTTGCCTCTTTGAATGCTCTTCGCGTTGTTGCTAATTAAATTTTAAATAAATAATATTAAGGTCAAGGATAACTGCGGCGGCTAGAGAAATAGCAAAAAAAGTGAATGGCAGAAGGCAAAAGGCAAAAGGCAGAAGGCAGAAGGCAAGAGAAATTAAAGCTATGTCAAGCGAAAATGTAAAAGTGAAAAGCGCAAGTGAAACTAAATTAAATAAATAAGGCGCTTTAGTTTCGTTGGCGAATTGCATAGATGCCCAGCAAGCAATAATAAAAGTGATGCATTTTCTAAGAGAAAGGGCCACGATAGGTTATTGCTGTAGATTTGTTTATCGATAAATTTATACACAATGCATGCGAGCAATCTGTTAATAGTGGTGTCGATTGCTAAATCGATAATATTATTGTTAAAGTTATAAAGAGCGAATGTGATAAATAGTCGATAACTTAATCGATAGCACCATCGGTCAGTTAAAATGGCGATTCATGTATCGACAGAAGTGCCGATTATTAAACTGAAAACATGTTCGATAGATTTATGGATAACATCAGTGTTAAATATACATAAAAACATTGAAAAATAAAAGGAAAAATCGGTAAACCGACAAATGTTTCGATAATTTTATAGCTGCATATATCGATAACAAATTCGATGTACATATATAACCAATGAACACATCGACAGATATCTTTACAGCTTAAACCTATTTTGATTGCAGCATCAATATGTTGAACAACACCCGATAAACATTTCGATAAAATCATGAATGCGTATATCGATAAGGTCGTTGTAATATATACATATCGAATGCGATTCAGATGAAGGATCTTTAACAAAACAACCGAGTTTCCCTTAAAAAATTTTTTCATATAGTAACGAATCAGTATACCATTTTTTTCTAATATATTCATAGGTTTTCGGTTTAAAGGAGTTATGATACATTCTCGTTAAGTTCTGAGAGGAAAATACTGATATTTAGCTTTGACCCGGTCTTCATTATTCTATGAGAGTATTTGATCTAACGGATTACCAACAAAATAACTGATTATATTCCCAGTTTAGCCCGCTTATTGGATATCGTGGATTTGGAAAAAGTGAGTAGCGATCACGTCAGCGCAGTTAAAAGGAATATCACTTATGGCTTAGCTTTATATAAGCAAATCTTACGAGTTGCTTTTTCAGTATACATAATTCCTTTCTCTCGCCAGAAAAAAGCGCTAAAACATTCTTGAATTTATTTGAATTAATGGAGTTGCAGAAACAAATACAATCAAAAATAAATCAAGTATTTAAACAATTTTAGCCTTACAAGGCTTATTTGGGCGAAAAAGTAACGAAATTACAAATTTTTGTTATTGTCACTCGACAAAATCGTAATTGTCTTTTTTAATAACTTTGGGAAGTTTTCAAATTGAATGTTCATATTAGAAGCAGTGAAAGTTGGCATCAAGTAAAGCATATCTGAGAAGTTTCAAGAGTGTGCCACCGAATTAAAAAACAAATGGCAGCATGCAAAATATCTGTCGCAGCTATTTTGTAATTTTTAAAATTTAACGATTTTTTCATTTAAAAGTTTAAGATACTTCAAAATTGTTAACATTAAACGGTGAAACTTTTTTTCTTGCTAAAACAAACCAATCAATAAAACTATTGTGCCACCAAATGAAAAAAAAATACATTGATTATAAGGAAGGTGACCATGATTCGCGAAAGAAAAATTCCAATCTTCTTTTTTTTTCTGGCACACTCGAAATGCAATCTTAAATTATTATATGCATGAAGAAATTAATATATATATTCGTGAAGAATACTGCAGAAAAACTTTCCATGCCAATATTTAATTACTTTTAAATAATATGACTTTTAAATTAAGGAGTGCGAGTAAACGTGTTCGCTGACTGTTTATGGTACTACGGAGCACGTATGTACGTTTCATACACAATTACGGGTATATGAGCAGGAGTTTTTATTTAAATTTTTTAGTATATCTTTTTTAAGTTTTCATTTAAACACAATTTCGCGATGGAATCCATAGGTCACATATTGATGCCACAAATTCTGATAACACAAATTTCAAATATACATACAAAAAGTAATAAAAAAAAAATTTAAAAAATTTACAAATTTAATTGCCCAATGCTCTACTGGGTGTAAATTCAAATAAAAATTATACTTATAAAATATTAATTAAATCATTTTTTCAGTGACGACCAGCACTGTTACTGAAATGGCTGAACATAAAATAGGATTTGTTTATTTCTATGTTTTATCTCTTTTGAACATTCGGCCCTCCTCATATATGCGAGTACCTATGTATGTATGTATGTATGTATGTATGTATGTATTTAAATGAATTTCCATTTGACGGAGCTAACGAGTGCGCTGATATTTTATTCATATCCGAGTACAAATGGATTTCATGTGTAAAAATAAATTGAAAATTTGCGTTTTTTTTTTTTAATTCGTACGTAATTTAAATGCACTCAGCGAGGAGAGAGGCGTTAAATGGCAGCGGGGTTTTGACGTACATGTAAATACGTAAATGCGTGTTTGTTTGAGGCTTTGACAGACACATGGAAATGCATGGAAATGTTAAGCAGTCTCTAGCAAATGGTAGCAAGGTAGCCTACGTTAAGGATATATTTGCAGTAGGCGTACGTGAAATGCAAAGCGTGTATTTTTAATTTAACTTAATTTTAAACTTTGATTTTTTTTTTTTTGTTATTGGCGCTATTTTTTCGAGTTTATATTCCCTCTATTTATTCTTATTTTTTCATTATTTAAGTTAAGAAATTTTTAACCAAGTTATTGTCTTTTATTTTCGCAGAGCTCGTTAAGAAGTACCGCAACTATTTGACTGATGTGGAATTTGAAGAACTAAAAGTTTACAAAGAGATTTGGTATTTCGGACAAAATGCCAGCAAAAATTACAATAAGACCACAACGAACGGAACTGCCAATGCGGGCTTCGATGATGATAATGGAAATTATAAAATTGTGAGTAGCAACGATTGTTAAAAAAAAAAAAATAATTCCTTAACTTGTCAGTCCAAAAGTTTAGGGTTTTTCGATTCGCAAAATGAAAAAGAACATGGCTCTTTTATGTGAATTATATTTGTTTTATTGTGAATAAAAAATACTCTGAATTTCTTTGCATTATTCATTTCCTCACAGATTGAACACGATCACATTGCCTTCCGCTATGAGATACTCGAAGTAATCGGTAAGGGTAGCTTCGGTCAAGTTATACGCGCCATGGATCACAAAACCAATACATACGTGGCCATTAAGATTATACGCAATAAGAGGCGTTTCCTCAATCAGGCTGTGGTAGAATTGAATATTTTGGATGAATTGCGCGAAAAGGATGCCGATGGATCTCACAATGTCATACATATGCTGGATTATACATATTTCCGCAAGCATTTATGCATTACATTCGAGTTGTTGAGGTGAGTGAAATAAGTAGATAAAAAGCTGAAGATTAATTGAAAAGAAAAAGCACTAGTTGTGCAAAGACAAAAGTGAATTACAATTGCTATGGGAGATAAATTTATTATCGATAGCGATAAGTACTTATTAACTAAAAGTATTTTCTTGCTATTTGCCTTTAACACTTATTGTGGTTACCTTAGACCTTTCTAGTCCTGGATAGGAAGACTTAGGTTGCAATAGTTAAGGATTTTTTCGACATATTTCAGTCCAGAGGTTTCGATAGGGTGCCAGTCATGCACCCGTTAACCTTTGAACAAGTCTTCGGAACTTCTTCTCTGCTAACCGTCTTCAAGTAAAACTACTGAGGTCTTTTAGGTTGTAGCTCACCGTTCTTGGAGGCGATTTTGCTTACGTTTTAACCACCTTCAAGAAACCAGTAGAGGTAACCCACATCATGCGCTATTATTTCGTCCTGAATTCTTCGCATGCTCTTTGCTAGGGTACACAACGCCGAGAACATTGAAAGCTCAGCTGCTAACAATGCCATCTGTTCGCGTGTCTTGGAGCTTTGGAAGAAAATACCGTTCGGGTATAGTTACATCCTAAACGTACAACCGCCTGCTGTCCGCCGACTACTTCACCGCGCGAAATTCCCAATCTGCAGCGGAAGGAAGGGTCCCGTTCTTGAAGGACTTAACGGTCTGTTGCAGGTGTTTTCATTGAACAAACTAACCTAATGCTAAACGTCCGCCTACCAGACCATGCACTCGTTTTCGCGGGAAAAATGTTTGCAATTAAGGAGGCGAGAACGCTGGTGAATATCTGCTTAGATAGCCAAGCGACTGTTCAAGCACTCTCTTCTACCTCTGATCGTTCTAAACTAGTGCATGACCGTAAAAGACAGCTGGCTCCGATTTCTGATCAATACGGAAATTAACCTTACATGGGTCCTGGGACATACTAGGGACATTTACAGAAACGAGACAGCGGACGAACAAGCGAGGTGCGGCTCAGCACTGAATCTGTCGCACGCGGTAGAAATGGGTGCCTCGCTCCAGGATATCAAAGGCAGAATTTCCGAAATTTATCATTCGAAGACTTGAAAGAGGTAGTAGTAGTAGGATTACCCACCAGTGCTGGGTGTCTTATGGCCCAAATAAAACCAGGGTTTTTTCGGGAATAAGCAATACCTGCAAACTCACGGCAGTCTGTAAAGAATTGGCATATACTTTATGTGACATATGTATGTGCGGCAATCATATGAATATATAAGTAGGTAATTAAATTATGTACAGCTACAATTAAATACTTGCACTAGCTGGTAAAAAATTTCAAACCACACACTCCGCTATTCGAAAAACTTTGCTTCTTCGAATATTAGATACTGAAAAATGCCACTTCATCTACATACATACTCGTATAACAAAAAAAAAGGGTTCGTTTTGCTCTCCAGTCAATAATTTTATGTTTATATGGCACATACGTATATGTATGTATGTACATTTTAGCTGTGGAATACATACATATCTTTTGCTCACCCCTGCCCCCTTGTCTGAACTAATTCAAATGTCAAAAGTGAATTTCGAACTTTTACTGCTCACTTTCAATCGAACCGCCAACTGTCTGAATTGTTTCCGTGCATTTCCTATTTTTTTGCTTGTTCGTTGCTCGCACTCCTTTCCTACTACTATTGTAGGTAAATGACGTGTGACGTTTTGGCATGTGGTTTGTGGCGTGCAGCATGTGACGTGTGCAGCGTACTTATTTGCGTATGCCAATGCGAGTTACCCGACAGCAAATGGGACTGTCTGGCAAACTAGTGGGACATTGCTAAATTTTGGGCATTTTAAATGCACATACATACATTTGTCGAGAAGTAGTAGTTTTGACTACCAATCGCTGTCAGTCAGATCAATTCAAGAAAACACAGACAATGGCCCACAACAGAGGTATTTTTTTACTCTCCGCAGTGGTAACTAAAAGCAAACACGAGCAAGTTGCATCTGAGTACAAAGGACCGATACTGAACTAGTCTTTTTACGCGACTTCAAAAATGTACTCCATTGGCTATTTACAAAATTTTAATCTGTACTTTAATTTATTTACTTTGCGGTCTACCGGCTGCTCTCTTTAATTTATTTGTTTTTTCTGTTAAGCACAAAACAAAGTTACCCATGTCTATTTGTTGGTAAAATTTTAAAGTTTGCAAGTTGTCAGTTGGCAGTTGTGCTGTGCCTAGCACCGGCATATGGATTCCCAAGTCATAGTTCCTCCACAAAAACGGTACGAGGGAATGCGAAGCGTGCATTTTGCTGCGTGTACGGAAATATCTGGCGCACATTTTGTCTATACATACATACATATGTACAGACAACCATGCTTGCATTTAGTTAAAGCTGCTTGTTGGTAGGTTGGCTTACTCCTTTTTTTTTTGTATTTACTACCACTCAACAATTTTGTGGGCTTCCACTTATCAACAATTCAATCACGACAAGTAAACAATTCCGCGAGAAGTCGTCGCTGGCAGGGTAGAGAATATTGGTGGCCATGGCCGTGACAATGGCGGTGTGGGGGCATGGTTGTTTGTTGTTGTGCACTTTGCTGTTGTGCTGTTTGGGCTTGCGAGTAGGTATTTAATTGGTTCATATTTAATTTTATTGCAGTTGAAAGTTGGTTTGTTTTATTTTTTGGGGACTTTTATTGTCATATGAAATCCATGAGCGGCATTTCACTGATATTTTGCTTGGAGGCTCCTTTCAACATTTTTATAATTTGTTGCGAATACTACAGGGTAGAGCTGGAACACCTCATATTTCGAACAAGAAATTTATACGACACAATCTTTGCTCTTTTAGGGTAATATTTATTTGCGTAGCTTGCAGAATTTAGGTTGGACTTACAAAATAAATGGTTTCGTTGGCTAGAGAAGACTAACGGGGCGTTTTCTGCGAAATGTATTTTATTTCATACACATGAAGAAAAATATGGCCTAAAAGTAGGCAGCATTGCATGCCACAGTAACTTTTGTTTATTCCTACTTAGCAAAGGCATTTATGGACTTCTCGAATGGCGAATGAAACACTTCATTGAAGTGAATACAAGAATTCATGTATGTGAAATTAAATTTTGTAAGCTACTGATAGAAAACCGAAGGGTTATAGAAAACGGGGCTTCCATGAAATGAACTGGAAATGGAAAGGCGCGCGACTTGGAGATTTTCGTGGCTTAAAGCCCTTTATTTAATAATGAAAATGAAATTTTTATTTTTAAGAACTCAAAAAATTATATTTTGTCAAAGTAAATATCAAAATGAAATAATTTTTATCCGACTTATTTATAAATTTTTGAGCAGTGAATCCATAATAAACTGAAAACTACCCATCTTCCCTCTCTAAAATGGAGGGAAATATTTCTTATTGAAAAAGGCAAACATTTCAGCTTCCAAATCGGGCATGCTCTATCTTTTGTTCGTATGACCGCCCTCCGGTTTCGACCGTAAATAGATTAAAATATTCAACATGTTTTTACTACAGATATGAATTCTGACAATACAAATACGTAAGTTTTGTTTGAAACTTTTTTCTCGGAGGCGCCTTTTTCAATCCTTAAATGACCTTCGAATTGCAACTGGTCCTAGACTTCCGAAATGAGTGAAAATTTTATTTTTGGAAAAGGAAAAACTGTGAACTACCAAGTCGGGGATGCTATATATTTTGGTCATATTACCGACTTGCGGTGTAGAAAGTTGAATTTTCTGATACTTGAATGCGATTTTGCTGCTCCTTTTGAAGCTTCTGATCCTTTTTTTCCGATTTCAGCGATGGCTTCGTACTTTTACGAGGAAGGTAAAGCAATTGCATTTGTCAAATTGTCTTCGCTAACATTACGTGACTTTTTTTCAGTGAAGATCCTCCTCCAAGATCTTTCTCCACCTCTCTCACCTCGAGTTATGTTTTTATTGTCGTCAGCTGGGTTGCGCCTCTTAAGGCAAAGGTTCATAAGTAGTACTCCACGACATTATCCGAATTACGTGTATAGCGTTCGGCCGTCTTATTCGCAAGTTTATACGGAATGCAGTTCCAGTTTCCTACTTCAAGGAAGGCTTCTTCCCCTGATCTCAAAGCCTTTTCACAGCCTCTTTTATCCTAACCAGCGAGGTTTTGTACTTTCATTTAATTATTTTGACACCGCTGTATGACCATGCTCTGTCAAATGCTGAGGAGTGGCTTCACTCTGATCAATGAATGCTACAATCAAGCCCTCGACATCGGAGACTTTTCGCCGACGCGCCTTACTCTAGATGTCATAGACATCGTTCTGAACTCCAACAATTTAGATGGCATCATCATCTTAGCTTCCTGGAAGCATCGTCTCTTCCCCACTACCTGATTGATCCAATTTGCGAACCTCGAGTAAAGAGTGGTCTCGCCATCCACTCCAATTTCCATTTCATTCTTAGAGGAAACCAACTGTCACGCTTCTTCCTTTATCGGGCTGAACTTATAGTTAAGCAGGTGTAGCTGCCTTGTTAAGTGCTTTTCCGTCCAAATCCATAATTGCTGGGCTTAATCCTAAGCCTTTTAATAGCTGCCATATTAACATACTCATTTGGATCCAGCCGTAAAGCATATTTAGAAGAGCATTTTCTTCGGCAATATCGACGTTAGTAGAGCTCCCAGGGTTCGAGCTTTCTGGGGCGCTCACACCTGTGCGTTTCGTGCTTTTTCGGCGGTCACAATACAATTACCGCGAACTGTTTACTTTATAGTGGAGGCAGCGCCACTGGCGCCAGAGCTTAAAAGTTTGCTGTGTCCATTCCCACAGACTTCTTGGCTGATATATATACCAGACCGAGTTTCTACTCCCTTTATTGCCAAAGCGTGTTCTTATAGTGCTGAAAGGGTTCAAACGTATATGTCCAAATTCAAAAAAAGAATTATTGGGCTAAAGGATTTCCGCTTCCGTTCGTCATTAAGGTTACACCGCCAATTACAAATCACACAAATAAACGCGCAGA